GATCTCCCCAACAGAAAATCCATGAAATAAGACGGTTGAATATACAGCAAAAAGTAGCCATGGCCAGACGACTAATATCTTCACAAGGAAATAGGAACTGTCTATGCCTATGCTTAACAAATTTGAGCAAGAAAGATCATGTATAACTTCTAATCCGTCTCAGATATCGTAGTCTTGATAATTTCCAGTCTAAAGCCGTCCGGTACATTCCCGAAAGATTAGCAAGACTCGAAGTCAGCAGTTAGTAAACTGAGTTTCTCAACATAATCCCTTCAATGATACTTCTATCTAGGCTTTTCCTAAGGTCCATAGGCAATTCTACACTCCAATGGTTGTGAATGAGCGGAGAAAAGAAGAAAAAATTAAATAAGGTATGTAGAAAAACAGGGTTTCCAATAGATGAATAACATTCATGATCTAGTAGCAGTCGTCGATTACTATTGCAAATACAACTTTGCTTCATCGACAATACCACAACAGAATGTGATATGAGAAATGCCTGACCTTCCTCGATATTCAAATCTGCCCTGTGACACAAGGGAACTCGTGGCAATGTGGCAAGGGGTTAATGTGTCGAGATTATATGCTGCACTGTCGTGATTTGAGTCCCTCTGGGAGTGTTGATAAGACTTATAGCTTGTAGAGCATTTTAAAGAGAATGGGTTAGCCGGCAAGGGCTTCATTTTATGAAGACGCTTTACACCACTATATAGAGAATAGTAATTAGCGATTATTTGAATCTTCTCAAGCATATAAGCGTAGCGAATTTTATTATATCCTTGTAAATGTATTTGCTCATCTAAAACAAATAAGTTAAATGCATCTAGAATAGGGCTAGAAAACTAATTTAGTTTTTTTGGGCTGGCAAATCAAATATTAACCGGAATCAGAAAAAATAATGCCTATATACAAGAATAACATCAATTAAAATCAGAGCAATATATAACTAAGTAGAATTATTTAAAAATGTAAATAAGAAAAAATTGTGTTGCTTATATGACTCGCCTGGGTTATACAGTTCAAGCTAGCTTTCTGTCGCTTTAGCAGCTCTCTCTGCTGCCGACGACGCTCTCGACGTTCGTGACGTTCTTGTCGTCTCAACTCCCCAGAATCATTCATCTCAATATTAGCATATTTGAGTTGTTCTGCTTGTTGGAATGCCCTTTCCTTTTGACCACCACCTCCTTCATTCACGACTTCATCCCGGTCGTGCTTCTCGCTGATTACTTTTTTCCTCTGCTCTCGTTTGTCGCCAAGCGGGCCAGCTAGGTGCGGAGATAATGGACTTCCAGCGTCACCAAAGTCCTCCTCGTAGGCTACCACATCGGAAAGAAGCCCAAGTTGAAGAAATCCCGATCGACTGTGGAGCGAGTTGCCGGTAGACTGAGGACTTTCAACATGTCCGGCAGGGACTTGAGAATAATCATTTTCCGGCACACTTGCGTTCGAAGCAATCAACATCTGTTGGGATTCTACACGAGATATAAGGTTTCCAGACGTTTGATAACTAGGATTATGCAAATTATCTCGCTGGTTTTGGAGCTGCTGCCTTGCAAGATGCTTCTCCTTACGTCGCTTCTCGCGCTCTTGTCTGCGCTTATCACGAGCTTCTCGTCTGACGGCTTTCTCTTCAGCCTCCAAACTCTCTGGGAAATGAGACGAAGGTTGTCCATTAGCGCCAAAAGATGAGACATCTACTTCGTTGTAGTCTTCGTTGTTGCTATTATTGCTGACATTATTATTCATAGTAATGATACTGGAAACTGATGCACCATTCAGAGTTGCTGTCCCAAGGCCAGATGCCGCTTCAATGCTGGCCTCCATATCACCAGAAGCAGCGGTCATCGTTGGTCCACTAGACCACCAGGAAGCACTGAAAGGCAGCTGGGCGGTAGGCATATAGGGGCTAGAGCCATGCAGACTTGGCGATGTAGAAGCCGGAGACTCTCGGGGACCTGATTGATGAGAATGGTGAGTGGCCTCCGCACAAGATACCTCATCTATAAGGGTACCAACAGCGCCTACTCCGCTTATACAACCAGAATTTTGAAGACTCATATCTGGTGCCGGATGTGGGTGATTAGTCATAGTTGAAAAAACCCGGTTGTTGTACGCAGAACAGGAAGAGGGCGATGCAGAGTAAGCCTGGCCAGACTGAGGCTGGAGAAGAAGAGACATCGAGTGAAAAAAACTTAAGAATTATTCATAAATCATAAATGATAATAAATCATAAATAACAAAAGGGAAGAAAAATT